AAAGCACCGAAATGTGCGCTGCTTTTCGGTCTGGTTTCTACCGTTTATGTCAGAACCGACACCGGTACCCATCCCTAGCCGTGAGGTCAGTTTTATAGTCAATAATATGCAAATTATCATGCCCATTGATCAACAACCACTAATCAAAGACAATTGATTAATGACCTTTGGTCAATGGCCATGAGAAGCATTCACAGAGAGTTGGGGAACAGCTGCAATAACAAGCTGTAAGCTGGTGAAAGATGTAACCTTGATTCAGAGACGACCTTTTCCTTTTCACATAAATGGCCACATTGATGTTTCACTCAAACCAGCGTTTGCGGTACCCCAGCATTTATGGTACTCATGGCTATTAATCAATACCATTGATCAATGGTCATTAAAACGCCACGTCCAGATGAACAAGATCAAGTTTTGGGGATTTCTCTACCTGGATGATTGAGCAGTTATTCAATACATGTTCTTATGCTTAATTTGGTATAATTTCTGAAATGTAATTTCAAAATATAAATTGTATTCAGCATTCTTTGTAGGGGAGAGTAGGGCTTTAAAAAAAAAAAAAGCAGAGGTGAGACAAAGGATTTTACTTCAAATTGGATAGGGGGAATCAGATGTGTAGGTGTCAGGGGATGAGGTGGAGGAGTCCCAGTTATTAGAGCAGGAAGGTGAGAGCTCAGAGGACATACAAGAAGCCTGAGCAAAGGACAAAGTGACCACACTAGGGGTGGGTTTTTATAATCGATTTATCGATTAAAATCGATTCTGGCTTGGATAACGTAAAATCGATTCATTAAAATCCTGAATCGATTTTTTAATATTAATTTATTTTGCCCGAAATGCCACAATCTCAGGTGAAAGATCACAAAATTTCAACAACCACCAAACAGCTAAGACAGTAAATGAGAGCAGGTACACGGCTTCTGCACAAAGACGTAAACACACAGCGCGGACCAGAATCAGTGAGATGTCACCTTTCTCAGCTGACAGTTGGGGCTGAAAGCCGACAGCTTGCTGATTCTGATCCGCGGGTCCGCGCTGTGTGTTTACGCCCTTTTTGCGCTGATCATATGGCTGTTAGTTTTATCTCTCTCCAAACAATATTGACTTAACCAGCAGCAAAAAAGATCCAAACTATGCTTCACATAAACATCGTCATGAATTCCCTCTGACTTTTGCTGACTTTTCA